ATCCACCTCCTGCTCAGGATTGTGTAATAGGAAGGCCTCAACTGGACTCCCTGAGGAGGGAAAAGGGGGCTAGGGAGGAAAAAACAGCATAAAGATACAGAGTACAGAGGCACAGTCTCTTCCTGTTCTTCAGACCAGGGACTCCCAGGGACAGGACCCCCTCTTCTGTCTTTTCCCATTCCTCACCCAAGCCCAACAACCCCAGCTTAAGGTCATGAATTCTCCCATCCCCTAATGGGTGAAGGAGTCAAAAGGTACAAATTTCCAATTATAAAATTAATATCATGGGGATGTAACATACATCATGGTGACTATTGTTAATAAAACTATTGTATATTTGAAAGTAGCTAGGAGAGTAGATCTTGAATGTTCTCATTGCAAGAAAAATATTTTTTTGGTAACTATGTATGGTGACAGACGTTAACTGGGCTTATATGGTGATCACTTTGCAATAAGTAGAAATGTCCCATCATTACATTGTATACCTGAAACATATAATGTTATATCAATTATATTTCAATATAAAAAAGAGGTCAGCTTCTGTTTTCCTGTATAATCCATTAAAATGGTAAAGTGCATTAAAAAAAAAAAAAGGATTCTCCCCTCCCCTCAAGCTGCTGGAAAGATCCTTGGTCATGATGAAGTAAATGACTAGCCTTAAGATAAAAACCACGTTGTTCCTTGGGAGCTGGGGTGTGTGCCAGAGAAGGGAGGGTGTCAGCAGAAGTCCCACTGAGTTGGACAATAGCAGGAAAGGAAATCACCCAGTTGCCACCGTGGTTTTCTTCAAGGCTGGGTCCAGGCAGGCCTCGCCTTGCAGGGATGGGCTGTGCAACTGTTTCCAGAACAGAAGGTAGTATTTCTTCAAATGCTTTTCAAAATGTACTCATAAGTATGTGTGTGTGAGTAAAACAGAAACAGAGGTATGAGAAGTGCTCAGATATTAGAGGCCTTGAACATTAGAGCTTGGATATTTTCCTAAGTGATTTGATTGAATTTCAGAAAGATTTCCTTAGCTGCTGTGTGGATTAGATTGAAGGGTCCAAGAGTTGAAAAAGTTAGAAGACCGTTGCAGTGGTCCAGGCTAGAACTGATAAAGGGATGGAGAGGTCACCATTAGCCTTGGACCTGAGGAGGGGAGAAGCAACCAGAAACCAGCAGAAGACTTGCTCTGGAGCCAACCAGGGTGAGAGACACTTTACCCGAATCTTGGGGAACAGGGCAAAGACCCTCAGAAAACTCACATCTTGGGCTTAGAGGGCTTGGCTAGGGTTCAGCTGATTCATATGGTATTAGAAGGGAGACCAAGGCAGACTCTCAGGGTATACAGGGTCACAATGGGCACATTAGGCCCCAGTCCCAGATTTCCTGCAGTGGCCACTCTGATCCTCTCCATTACCTCTGGAGGAGTTCCCCATTCCCACAAATCAGTCCCCACCAACCAGCCCAGGGGTACAGGGGAGACAAATGAGAAATCCTGGCCATACAAGGGTGCTGGAAATTCCCTTGGAGTAGGGACAGTCCCCCCACCCAGATGTACAGAGAGACGTAAGTTTGGAGTGCACAAGAGGATGGGGCACTGGACAAGTCTGGAAGGGGCCAGAATAGGGGAACGGTAACTTCCAGCCCAGTTCCCTCACCTCCCCCTATCTTCCCCAATCCAGCTCTTTCTCATGGCTCCTACCATTCTAGTCCCCCCACCCCCACTTCTTGAACCTCTCTTTTTTGGTATCAGTGGGGGAAGGGGAAACACTTCTTGACCTAGAACCATTGGGTGGCAGCTTCAGAGATACATATTTCAGCTGGCTCCCCATCCTTGGTGGTATATGGGCCAGGGCTGGGCAATGCTGTTGAAAGGTAGGACAATACCAGGTAGGAGATTCTAGGCGTCTGGATGCAGAACACCAGGTTCCCGTGGTTACTAATCTCTTGCCAATACCCTCCTCTCTCAGTGCTTCAGTTTGTTCATCTGTGCCTTTGTGATTAACGAGACGGGCAGAAGCCTGACTAGAAATCAGATCGCAAGCCAGGGGCCGGTTTGCTGGAATTTGGCCAGACGAGGGCACTCTTTCCTTTGGCCCTGTCCCAGCATACAGTGAGTGCTCAGTGGGTATGGTGTGCCTCCTCCCCCATCTAGGCTGTGAGATGCTTCTGCCTGCCCTTCATGCCCTTATACTCCTCCTCCTCTGTGCCAGATTACTCAGGCCTTACAGATTGCTTTATCCCTCCCCATGCCATCTCAGGCAGCGCACACTCCTCCATCTTGGTCCACTAGAACTTTCTGCAACTATAATCTGCCCTGTCCAATAGGTTAGCCACTGGTCACACATGGCATTTAACACTTGAAATGTGGCTAGTGTGCCTGAAGAACTGTCTTTTAAGCTTTATTTCATTTTAATTAATTTTACAATTAAATTTAAGAAGCTACATGTGGGCAGTGGCTACCCCATTGGACAACACAGGTTCTAGGCAGAGCTTCTCTTTGTTTCGTGTTTAGTGTCCCTTGTCTAAAATAAGAGTTGATAGGAGTTACCATTTATTGAGCACTTACTATTTGCCAATTTTTGCATAAGTGCTTTACAGGCACATCTCAATGAATCCTAGAAATTCCATTGAAGAGATGAAGAAACTGGCGTGCCTGGGTGGCTCAGTTGGTTAAGCATCCGACACTTGACTTCGGCTCAGGTCATGATCTTAGGGTCATGAGAAGGAGCCCCACGTTGGGATGTGTGCTGGACGTGGAGCTTGCTTAAGATTCTCCTTCTGCCCCTCCCCAGCTCTCTCTCAAAATAAATAAATAAATAAATAAATAAATAAATAAATAAATAAGAAGAAACTGAGGCTCCAGAGGTTGGTTAAAATGGCTTCAGATTGCACAGAAACCTGGAGGGCCATTCAAGTGTCAGTCATGCTCTCCAGCCACTCAGGGAAACTTCCAGGACCCAGCCTCGGTGTTCTGCCTCTATAGCCGCTTCACAGCCCGTGGGTGGGTGCCCCAGGAGGTTCATCATTGAGTACTGATTGGTGGATGCTCTTGACAAAAAGGAGAAGGAAGCTAATTCATTTACTCCCCATCTCCTGGGGACCCAGGAATCCTGCCTCCTGACATCCCATCTTCAGATATCTCTCCTCTTGCCTTTTTCCTGGACCACAGTGTCCTTTGGGTCACAAACTTAGAGCTCAACTGGGTGTTATGTGCAAAGATTTGGGAAAAGTTTGTCACAGGTAAGCCCAGAGGAAACCAGTTGGGCCTGGAAAAATCCTTGTTATTTTTGTGCACCGCCCCCCCGAAAAAGTATAATAGTATAATAGCTACCTTTTATTGAGCACCTACTTGTGCCAGGCACTTTACATACATCTTTGCTTATAATTCCCACAACAACCTGGGAGGTAGGCATTATCATCACCATTTTACATATGAGGAAACTGAGGCTCAACAAGGTTAAGCAGCTCACTTAAAATCAAACAGCTTATAGACAAGAGTGGTAGAATCAGCACTCAACATGGACATCCAAGAGTGCCCCAAAACTTTCATTAGGCATTTTTCACATAGGGGAAATAGAGGGGGTGGAGGAGTGGGCAAAAGGATGCATTCTTTAGGGGTTGAGGGAAGCTGAGCCCTGCCCTGTTTCCCACCTCCCCACTTTGGCAAGCCATTTCTTCCTCAGACTCAGCTGCAAAGTCAGCAACAACTCACTCTGGCTGAGAAAATGGCTGAAATGAAAGACCTTACCCTGTATGTGTATTTACAGGTGCTGATGTGCCCACAGAGCTCATGTGCCAAAGCACACCACCATCAGAATAAGAACAGCGCTCCCGTTTAGGCTACACTCCTGCCACGTATGCAGGGAGTGAAGCAGCTGAGAGATCTTGAAAGGTCTGTTTATTTCCTACTAGATTCCCAGGGACATCAACCAGGAGGGGCCAGCTCAACAATCAAAACCTCCAATTTGCTCCCTGCCCCCTCTTTCCAGGCTTATCCAGCTTCAGAAGTGTTGTGTTCATTCTGTAGATTCAGGGACACATGGTGCCTCTCTCTCTCTCTCTCTCTCTCTCTCTCTCTCACACACACACACACACACAAAGTTTCTTGAGTTAAGGCACCAAGTCTGGCCTGCACGGCCTTGCAAGTCCTTGCCCATAGGCCATAGCCCTGGCCCATGGCTGAGCCCATGTGTTTACATAGACCGGTAAGTGCAGTGTTAGGAGTCTCTTCACAAATGAGGGACAACATTGATGGCTCCGCGCTCTGCCCAGTCTTCCTGTCCTCTGGGATGGAACCTCCTTTCTCCTTGTCAGTTGCCCAGACACCTCCATCCCATCTCCCTAGCTGGGGTGGGACTAGGTCAGCCATACTTCAAGCCAGTGCTGGGAACTCTGGACCTGGCTTCCAACATCAAGAATGTGCCCTTCTAAGTGTGGCAGGGGGCTATTTTGGGACCTTAAAGAGGATCAAGTCCCCACCTCAGAAGGGCAAAGATGGCCATTCAGGCCAGGACGGAGGGTAAGGTTTCTTTTTGTGCTTTTAAAACACAATCATGTGTAACAGGAAGAGAGCTGACCTTTTCCTTCCGAGTTCTCTTCCACCTCACTCCAGTCGGCAGACTGGAGTGAGTGTGGAGGGGAACAGTCTTTCGGATTGTGCGTTAGAAAGGGAAGTTCCTTCAGCGCCCCCTCACCTGGCTCTACCCCGCTGGTTGGGCACATTTATGTTGGCACCCACTTAGTGGGTGGTGCAGAGGTGGGGACGTCCTGGGGATACACAATGTGGTTGTGATGGAGGGTGAAAGGCCTGCATGAAGGCAGAGGTTAGGGCTGTGGGGTTCCTGGGTCCTGGGCTGGGTCAGGATGCCCAGACGAAGTAGGCAACCTCGTCCAGGTCGACGGGGTAATCGGTGAGCAGCACTGGGGTTTTGTCAAAAAGCTCGCCCTTGTAGCTGCGCCACTTGCCTGCAGGCAGGTAGACGTCTCGCTCCTGCTTGCCGGGCTCCAGGACTGGCGCCACCAGCAGCGTGTCTCCGATAAGGAACTGCGAGTCGATGCGGTGTGCCGTCTCATCACCGGGCGCAATCCACCAGAGGGGGCGCACGATGGGGTCGCCTGTGTCAGTGACCTCACCAGCCAGCTCCAGCAATAGCGGCGCTACGAGCGAGGCCCTCAGCGCGGCAAACTTGTGCGCGATAGCCACCACTTCCGCATCATATTGCCAGGGCGGGACCGAGAACTGCATAGCGGGCATGAAGGCGGCCACCTCCAGCCAGCGCACGTAGAGCTCGCGCTCGGGCACCTCGCCACCACCCGCTGTGCGCTCAGACACTGCGTTGCCACCCACCATATCGGGCAGGATGAATGGGTAGCCCAGCATGCTGACGGTGAGCACGGCGGGTATGAGTGAGCGCAGCCCCAGATCATAGCCCCACACCGAGTCGCGGTCCACTAGGCGGAAGAAGCATGAGATGTTCTGTGACTGGTAGCCCACGCGGACCTCCGCCAGGGAGAAGAAGGGCAGTGCCATTTCAGTGTAGCGTCGGCTCCATATGCTGGGGTCGGACAGCGGCCTGTAGGTGCTGAAGTCCCGCGGCAAATAGCTGACTTCGCCTGCGTCAAACTTGAAGGAGGCCACAGCGTAGCGCGAGCGCAGCCGCCGCAGGTGCCCCTGGAACCAGTCTCGAGCCTCCGGGCGTGTGAAGTCGAGCACCGCGCCGATGCCGTTCCACCAGCGCACGAGCGCGGGCAGCCGGCCGGTGGGTTCGCGCACGAACAGCTCGCGTTCCACTCCCTCACCAAAGCACGATGAGTTGTAGTTGACAAACGGGTGAACCCAGAGCGTGACGCGAAAGCCGGCATCACGCAGACGGCGGAACATGTCGCTGGCATTGGGGAACTTGGTCTCGTCGAAGTCGAAGTCTCCATAGGCAGGTGTGTACATGTCGTCTATTTCCAAGTGGCTGCTGTTGAATCGGTGCTGGCGGATCTGCTGGGCGAAACGCTGCACTTTGTCCTGGTCCACGGCACGCCCGTACAGCACCCACGTGGACCAGATGGGGTCCCGGAAGGCCTCGGGTGCTGGCACCCTCGAGGGCTTGTTGAAATAGCGCCGCACCATGTATTTGTGGATGGAAGTGACGTCAGAGCCGACACACACGCGGTAGCTGAGCTCTGGCACAGCAGGGCGGCCCGCAGGTGGCTTGTAGGGCGTGTTGTGGTAGCGTGCCTGCAGCCGCAGCGAGCGCTCCGTGCCGTTCCAGCCCAGGTGGAAGGGCACGGAGTCGTTGACCTTGATGGCAGCTGCACGCGATGACAGCCAGTAGCGCTCGAGGATGCCTCCGAATGCAGCGCCGGAGGAGTAGACATCGCTGGTGACGAAGGGCTGAGGCTCCTGCTGGCCGTCCAGGCGGATGGGCCAGTGCTGGGTCCTCATCTCAGCACCACCGTACCAGTGTGCCGCTGCATCGCCCAGGAACATAGCGTGTTCCACCTCGCGCCCTGGAGCCGCCTCCTCCCAGCGCACGCGGTAGCACATGACCGTATCCTTGGGCCTCACAGTCTGGATGAAGAAATGCAGGGGGCGCCCATCGGCTGTGCGAGAACAACCGAGGACCGCGCCGTCGCGGCTGCAGGAGTCGAGGTCCAGTGCGCCTGAGCGGAAGGCCAGGCGGAAGACCTGCTCGCCCTTCTGGTTGCGGATGGAGAAGCCGCCTCGGTTGAGGTCCAGCAGCTCCGCGCGCAGGCGTTCCGCTTTGCGTAGAGAGGCGCTGTAGTAGCACCAGGCCACCACTGCGGCCAACACCAGCAGCAACCCCAGGACCGCGGAGCCTAGGAGCGGTTTCAGCTCTTTGGAGGGCTTGGGCTTGGCCGGCGAGAAGTTATCAGGCAAGAAGGTGTACATAGCTGCAGCTGCGATGACCTTGGGGCTCTTACAGTTTGCGTGGCTCCCAGGGCGGCAGCGGGGGTAGGCTTGGCTCTTCTCCTGAGGGTTCTGGGGCATGAGCCCCCAGTTAGGGAAGGAGTGGGCAGTGGGACCACCCGACAAAGCGCATCTGAACCTGGACTGCCTGATTCTGGAAGGGGAAGAGAGAAGTAGAACTGAGCTTTCTCATTCCACAGTATTTCCCTTTGCTGCATCAGAAAGAGGAAGTGTATATTTTGGGAAGGTTGTATTCGGGGATATAAGGCCTGGGACATAAAGGCTTGACCCTTACCAGGACCATCTGTATGTGTCTAAACCACTCTTCTTTTTTTTTTTTTAATTAACATATAATGTATTATTTGTTTCAGGGGTTCAGGTCTGTGATTCAACAGTCTTACACAATTCACAGCGCTCACCATAGCACATACCCTCCCCTCTAAACCACTCTTTCTCATGAGCTCCAGTTTTTGCCATAATTAGTCAGGACTCTGATTGGGGAGGGGCAGATGGCATGCATCCCCATTTTCCTGGTGGAGAAACAACCCAGACAGGGTCAGGGAGCTGTCTAGGATCACAGAATTAGCCAGGCTTCCTTGGATCATACATGGGGGCAGTTCAGGCTGAGGAGCAGGCGAGGGGTCTGGAGAAGGCCATGGTGGGAGAGGGAAGATAATCCAGCCAGTTCTTTAAGATCTTTAACAGGGCAGTAGGCTGGTTTTCCTGTCCCTGCAGGGGCAGAGGAGAGAGGAGGGGGAACATCTCAGGCATGGAATTTAATCTTGAGTCAAAAGCCAGATTAAATCTGGAGATTAGAGAAGATACCCAAAGCCAGATGCAGTCATGGGCCTGGTTTGGAGAGAGGCAGGGTTGGGTTTGTACATTAGGGCTCGTGTAAAAAGTCTAGCATGGTGGCCATGGTGACTTCTCAGATCACCCTCTCTTTGCTCTCAAACTCCACCCTGTTCTCAGCAATTGATCACCAAGTCCATTTCCTTGCCAATCTTCCTGCTGTCCTTCTGGCAACACATTTGTTGGCCAGCTACCTCCTGGCTTTGTCTCCACTACGCACCCACTCTCCTCTGCCCCTGCCCTACTTTGGGCACTGTCATTTCTCCCATGTATCATTGCAGTACTTCCCCAATAGGCCTCCCTGCTTCCACCTTCTTTTCCCCCAATGCTCACAGCAACCATGGTGATCTTTTTAAAGCACTTATGAGACAATATCTCTTCCGATTTAGACAATGGTGATCTTTTTAAAGCACTTATGAGACAATATCTCTTCTCGGTTTAGAGCATGACCCCCAGGTTTAAGTTCAGAAGTATAAGCTTTGCAATTGAGGGTCAAGGCATTATGTGGTCTCATCTGCCTTTCTGATTCCATTTCCAGCCAGGCCTATCCTATGACCACCAAGCTCATTCCTTCCCTAACCTAAATCCTTCAGCCATCTGCTCTAGGAACTTTCACCTACCCACATTGAACCAATGTCTCTCCCCCACCTATCAGCTCTCCAAGGAATGGACACCCGCTACTGCACACATAGACTCTCATATACTGTATGTTAAACATATGACTGCAGAAAAAACCCCATAGACTTGGTGGGGAGGGGGGGAGGCAGTGTGTGTCCCAATCTGCTGCCCAAGGCAACTGACCATATCTCAGCCCTCAGGGCAGAGTTCAACAAAGAAATAGCACCAGCCAGGTGCACACACAGACATACATGCTGCCAGCCAGCCAGCTGCCCATCTGTTCCAGCTGGGAGGAAGGAGAGAGGGAGACTGGCAAACAGTAATTAGCCTCCTCCCAGATGCCAGTGTCTGTCTCTAAGTCCTCAGCTACTCCCAAGGAGATGCCAGAACTGCTCAGGGTCCTCACCTCCCCCACCTCTCCCACAAAGAGACTATCATCAAGAATGACAGGTGCAGGGTGCCTGGGTGGCTCAGTTGGTTAAGCGTCTGCCTTCAGCTCAGGTAATGATCCCAGGGTCTTGGGATTGAGTCCCACATTGGGTTCCTTGCTCAGTGGGGAGTCTGCTTCTCCCTCTTCCTCTCCCCTCTGCTCATGATCTCTCTCTCTCTCAAATAAATAAATAATCTTAAAAAAAGAAAAAAAAGAATGACAGGTGCAGACCAGAATTTTTATCTCAGATGTCAATATACAGCTCACTACAATGCCTCCCCCCTCCAAGGAGGTGTTGTCTTAGGGCCTCATTCTCTGTGCTCCCTCCCCCTATATCCCTAAGCTGGTCAGTTCCAGCTGGTCTGGAACAGCCTCTTACTCCCTGCCTCTCATCCCATACAACTTAGCTTTCAAAACTCCCCCACCCCTCTATTGCATCCCCTACCTGTGGGTATAGGTTAGAAAAGCCCTCCTGCAGAATGCACACAGTAGCTTTCAGCTGATGCCTTCAAGCTAAGTAGAACCCAAAGGTGGTTTTAGGTGGTCCAGGCCAGACTTGCTATATATTTATATTGATTCATTCAGGACAACCAAGGCCCCATTCTGGGCACTGAGGAAATAAGCGGTAAGGGTCCATATCTGAAGAGGACAGAGAACCCCTCATCCTCAAAACTTTCATATTAAGTCAGCCCATCTCATGACACTGGAGGCATGGAGAGGCCACCAAGATGACCTCAAAAGCCATTTCCAAATAGGTTCTGAGAATCTTAATGTTCTAGGATTCCAAGGTTTTTTGGTGAAGGTCAGGGGCCCACAGTCTTGGGCACCCACTCCACGCAGGCCCTGTGCTGGTCTCTCAAATGCCACCACAGCATCCAACCCCAACAATAATACTGAACAAGAGGCATAGCTATAGTGCCTATTCTACGGTCGAAGAAGCTTGCCCAAACAGAAAAAGGAACTTGTTTGAAGTTACTAGGTGGCAAGGTTGCCTAAATCCGAAATCCCAGCTTAACCCTCCACAGCATAATTTTTAGGAGATGGGAGATAATGGTCTGACTGGCAGTCTGAATGCAGCAGAGGAAAGGAGCTTTGTGAGTCAGAGGGTGGGACAGGCTCCCCATCAGGTGGCTGTGTGCATGGTGAAGCCTATCTTCTCAAGGGCTGGTGCTGCTGCTTGCTCCAGAAAGGCTCCTTGGGGTGGGAAAAGGGCAATTTTCATGGCATCTGGTACGGGGCTGTGGAGGAGGAACTGTGGTTCCTGTGTTAACAGCGCTAGAGACCCCTGTAATCTGCCGCCTCCGTCGTCGGGCTAACCACAGGCTAATGCCGGCAGGTGGGGTCTGCCCTAGCCAAACCTTTCCCCACTTGACACTCAACCTCGGTCTTGGCTGCCAGCCCCTAGCCGGATCTGAGGGGGAGGGTCCAGCCCGGCCCCAAAGCGGGGAGGCCATGCCAAGCTGAGTCGTTCGTCGAACATAATTCCAAGGAGGGGGGGAATGTCAAAGGCAACTCGATCCAGCCCATCTCCCTGCCCTCCCCAAGGACGAGATCAGAGGGGATCGAGTGACTGCGCCTACAGCTTGGAATACTCCACCCCCACCCCAGCGCTACGGCTACAATGTCCGAAGGGACAGACTGAGGTCAAAGGGCCGGCCGCCCGCTGGGAACCGCGGCTTGAGGAGGGGCCCAGGTGTCCAGGCTCGTACCCCCTACTCATCAGTAGGAGCGAAAGTTCAGGAAGTGTGTTTCCTCAGCAACCCCCCAAGGTCCTCCCCCTGGGCTCACTCACGGCAGTGACCCCAGAAGTGGGGGTGAAGGGAGGCTCCCGAAGATTCCCTCCAAGCTAGCCGGAGTTGGGCTGCCACGGCGCGGCGCGGGGCGCTGCCTAGCTGGGAACAGCTGAGGCCCTCCTCGGGACCCGCCCCCTTGCTGCTCGGCCACGCCCCGGTCGTTCGGTCTCGCTTCGGGCCTCGTAGTCCAGCCCCGCCCCTGGCGCTCGATCCCTCCTCCCACATTGTCACGCGGACTTGAGGACCCACCCCTTAGCTCCCACCTTTCTCCCACTGCTCTGTGGCCACCTCCCGGCAACTCTGGAAGGCCGCTAGCAGAGTGTCTCCTGGCTCCGCCCCCTGCTTGCAGGCCCGCCCCCGCTGGGCCGTTGCTTACTGCACGCTAGCGGGGCTCTGCCCTAGGCCTTCTGGGACATGTAGTTCTGGAGAAAGGAGCACTTGTAGAGTGTAGGGGTTCTCGCATCTCTAGGCTAAATCTGGGATGTGTATGAGGAGGAGAGAGCGGCAGGGTAAAGGGGGTAGGGCTGGCTACTGGGATTCCTTTCCCTCCAGATATGGGCAGGTGGAGGCCATCTTGATATAATGCTCTTATTAGCTCTTCATGTGGAAAGTTTCCCATATGGAAAAAGTTCTCTCATATAGAAAAAGGGTAGCGGGGTTCTGGGGGGATCACAGAGGAGGCTCAGTGCAGGGTGGATCCAATCAAGGACCCCACGGAAGGAGCCTAGTTCCACCAGCCAGGAAGCCCACGTTGTCAGTTCGCATCGCACCAGACCAGTAGTATCTGAGGTTGGGGACCTCAGTATTTTGCAATGACCCCTCTGATCTCCCCCCACAACACACACCCTGTGGTGACACCGTTAGAGGTGGCAAATGTGCCCCGCCATACCCCTGCTCTGTCCGAGGAGGAGTTGGGTGCAAAAATACTAAAGATCCCAGAGATTCCAGAACACCTCACCTCTTATTTCTGGAGGGACAGAGAAAGAGGGCTTTGCTTTGTAATTTGAAATTTCTTAGTCATGAAACCCTCCAAAATTATGTTTTAGACTCTTGAACTTGGGTAAGGGAGGGCAGCAAGGATGTCTGAACGTAGACTTTTTCAGGGCTGTGATGGAGACTCTGGGAGCAGAGATCAAGAACTTTGGGTACAGGGACAGGTCTCTGACTGCAGAATGGAAGACTGCATCTACTGAGATGGGGGGTGAGGGAACATCTAGGTTTGGGGGATACTGAACAAATGTCAGCTGGAGGGTCCTCTTGGGGTGGCCCTGCATGGCTAGGTAGACCCATTAGTTTGGGTGGAGGGAGGACACCAACCATTGTTATGTGTCAGGAGGGCACTCAGGACCACCCAAGGGAAGTACTGAGATGATGAGGGCAAGAAGGGCTCAAGGCAGGATGACTAAGAAAATGTACCTCAGTTGAAGGGGCTTGGCAGGGGCCTGAGTGACTGGCTCCTCACTGCCAGATCTTGTGGGGGTAAGGACACAGGAGGCAGCCTTTGGGGTGAAGAGTTTATTTACTGCTCAGCCCCCTTGGCCCCGCCAGCCTGGGGTCTACTAGCAGTAGCAGTCAGGATAGGTTTCAGACACAAACTCAGGGTGGACGACATAGTTGTTTCTCTGGGGGCCACCGGTCTTCTTGAAGTGGCTTGTGTCCCATCTGTGGGGAGAAATGGGTCAGCCCTTTTGGACCTTCATAGGTCTGATTCCAATTCTCAATGCTAACGGTATCCCAACATTTTGCCCCTAATATTGACCCCATGCTCCAAACTGACCTCCTGAGACCTCAGGTTCTACTGTTAAATTTCTGATTCCCAATACTGGCTCCATAACATTAATTTCTTATCCTTTACTTCAAGCCCTGAACCTAGTGCCATGATCTCTTGACTCTGAGCCCCACTGCCAACCTGTAACCCTTGAAGGTCAGCCTCAACGCCCTCTCATGGAGGGTGCTCCATTCCTTTGCCAGCTTTGACGACCCCATGACACTACCGCCCCCTGGTGGCATTTTCTAGTCAGTGCATCGCAGTGGACAGTTCCCGCCCCAACTCGTCCCCGCCTTCCCCGCGGCGCCAAACGCCATTTGCGCCGGACTTACCTAAGGTTCGGACAAGGGTAGTATGACGGCGGGGGAGTTATAACAGCACATTGCATTCCGGGCCGGTGCTCGTAGGGCAGTACACTCCTGGAGGAGGAAGTGGTGGTCAGGGAGATGTCGGGCCTCAAAACCCAGACTAGGGCTCCGAGCGGCGCTCTTCCCCTCGGGCCTCTTGGCCCTTCAACACCCCATCGACGCTTCCCCTGTGGGAAGATACCTGAAAGTCCCTATCCTCGTTAGGCCTGGTTTCCGCCGCCCAGGCTGGGCTGTGGGAGTACGCTGGACTGGGGGGTGGGGGGGGGGTCGGGCTCCAGTCGTTGAAGAGCTGGGAGCTCCCGGGTCCTCTCCATTGGAGGTCAATTATTCCAGCACTAACGACATTTCTAAGGCTCAGGCACTTTCTCGCTCCGCCCTGCCCTTGTGACGGATGAGACTCTGTCTCGCACAATTAATCAGACTTTCTACCCGGGGAAGGGCGGGGGTAATCACCGTGGGGTAGGGGCAGGATCTAGGAACACTCCACCCCCCCCCACTTGCCCCCGCCCCGCCACCTTCCTCCACAAGCTCTCTAGACCGACGCGGTCTTTGGAGTTCTCCCAGGCTCGGCCCGCCTTGACTGCCACCTGGTGCAGGGGGAAGGTTGCGCCGCAGTCTGGGTTGTAGCTGAGCGCTTGGGCCTCAGTTTCCTCAGCAGTAACACGCTAGGCTGTCTACCTTCAGAGGTGGTGTGGGGGTCTAAAGCCAGGACCCCTCTGGTAATACGGTTACCATTTCCTTGCTCACATAACACCCGGCAATGACCCTGCCCATTATAGACGGTGACCTGAGACCCAGGAATAGAAGGCGCTTTTTTGAGGACACCTGGCACTCCAGAGGCTAGAACCTGCGTCTCTAGGGCCGGGTATCCAGGTAGGGAACCAGGTGTGGAAAAGGGATGTGACTGGTGTGTGGGGTTTCTTCCTCAAAACAAACAAACAAAAAACAAAAAAACCCCACCTTCTGGCGGGGCCTCCAGAGCTAGGTTGACCTTGAGCCCAGTTCCGGACGGACAGGGCCTGGAACCTGGGGGAATCTTAATGCAGGTTCTCCGGTCTCAGCGGTCAGCTCAGGCCCTGGGGCCGGAGGGCGGGACAGGACAGGGCCCAGTAAGGGGATAGAGGCGGCAGGAGTTGGGGTAGGATCTGGCATAGAGGCAGAGCAGAGCTGGAACTGGTGAGGGATGGGGCGCGCACAGCTGGGGTGAGGCTGGACTCGCGGGGGTAGGGTGGGGTGGGATGGGGGGGCTTGTTGGGGGCGGGGCCTGCCTAAGGAGGGAGCGTCCCTGCGAACCTTACAGTCGGCTGCTCTGTGCACGGAGGCCGGAAGCGGCGTTCCGTGCAGGGTGCTCCGGTGACGTAGTAGTCCATCCCACGTAGACAGTAGTGGCGGCCCGAGCAAGGGCTTTCATAACCCTGGAAGGGCAGGCGGCGGGGCAGAGGATCCACGCACCCGTATCGGGGCGTGATCTGCGGCAGCGGCTGGTTCCGTGACAGCGAGTTCAAAATGTTCACCACCACCTCGCGCTCTGCACCCGCGGACCCAAGCCGGGGAGACCCGGATACAGTTACAGGAAAGGGAAGGGACAGAGTCAGAGATAGGAAGAGATGGAAACAAAAACAGGGACAGATAGAGGAGACAGGGTTACATCCCCTATCTTTGGCTTCTGCCACATCCCCCAGGTCCCATCCCATCGTCCTTCTGGTCTACCCCACTACTGCCCCACCAACTGTTACCATAGGCGTTGAGTCGTTCCGGCTTAGGAGGGCACTCCAAAGGCATTCCTCGAACAGCTGTCTCCATTCCGGCCTCCTGAAAGTGGCACACATGCTACCTCAAACTCTGACGTGGAAGAGTTCCTCCTTTTGGGGGTCTTCCCTGAACACCCAGACCAGTCCCAGGCCGTGTCTTCTCCCGCCCTCCAGATGCTCCCCTACTCTCCCAGTCTCGGAGTGTTTAGGGTTGTCTGTCACCCGGCAACCCAACGCGGTTACTCCGCCTCCGGGGTCGGGGAAGGGGGGATAGGAAGGAAAGGAAATGAAGCTATAGGTGGATGGGGTCTGGACCTAGGCCTCAGGCACCCCTGCCTCAGCGTTTGCCTTTGATTTTACCTCTCTTTGTCTAGCTGACTCTGTGTAGTTATGTCTTGGAGTGTCTCTAATTGGGGAGAGGTAGTGTCAATATTATAATATTGCCTGCCCATGAGAATCACCTGGAGGACTTGTGAAAAATCCTGACTCTTGAAGTTCTGATTCAAAAGGGTTCAGTCAACCCGAGGTCAGCCATCAGCTGCAGTTAAGAACCTCTGCTCTGGCCTCCCATCCTCTCAAATTTCCTCTTTCCTCTGGCCTGGGCCTGCAGCTGGGCTCCTTCCTATCTCCTTGGAAGACTCTCCTGTTATCTATCTGCGCTGCAACGGGGTGGCCTTGCTTTCCCTTCTTTTGTCCTTGCTCACATCACAAAGGAGGGAGAGTGGAGCAGGTAGGCTCAACCTATCATTAGCCAGACCATGTGGGAAGGGGCCAGGTGGCAAGCTTCAGGAAGGTAGCAAGTCAGGGAGTGCACACTCACTGTGACCCCACTCACTGGTTTAGCAGTGGAGGGAGATGTGTGTCCCAGACCCCAGGCGTCTGGTCACAGTAGATACCTTAGTTAGCTGGGGAAGGCACGTGGTATATTTGTTCCAGCCGGTGCAGTTGTAAGGTCCCATCCTCCATGTGTTATACCAGTCACCACATAGGTAGTATGGGGTCCATTTGTCTATTTGATCATAGGGGTGGAAATACAAAACACTGTTACTCCTTATTCTACCCCAGGATCTGGGTCCCCCTAGATGTTTCTCCTCTGATCCCCAGCACAAAGCTGGACTCTTACTAATATCCCTCAGGCCAGTCAAGCCCAGCTTGGCCCCAGATTTACACACTGAGATGCAGCCCATTTCTCACCTAGGGCAAGTTTCTGAGTAGGGTCTGGATCCTTTGAGCTGATCACTTTGAATCCTGGGACTACCTTTTCTGAATCAGCCAACTTAAAAATGGATCTTCTTCCTCTTTCCTCCCTCTCATCGTCCACATCCAGGGTCCAAAGTTTGCTTATTCTGCCTCCTTAAAATCACTTGAATCTATCCCCTCTTCTCATCTCCCATTATCTCACCCCTGTATCTCTGCAGTGCCATAACGAGGAGACAATATCATGTCATGGTTAATAGAATGGACTTCACAGACATTTGGGGTTCAAATCTCAGCTCTGCCCAATAGCTCTGTATGAACTTGACTGAATTAATTAATTTCACTGTGTCTCAATATCCTCAATTTTAAAATGGGGGTAATAGTACTATCTACCTCATAGATTGTTGTGAGATTTAAATGAGTTAATACATGTAAAACACTTAGAACAATGCCTGGCACATAGAAAACATTTACTACTATTGGCCTACTAACCTCCCTACCTCCTTTTGAAATTGTACAATCCAATCTCTACATAGATTTTCACAAATGAAAATCTGACCATGACACTTCCTTACTTAAAATCCTCCAAAGCCCCATCCACCCAGTCATCTAAGTCTGTCCTGAAGACCCTCCATGATCTACTACCCTGACAGTCTGAAAGAACACATGTGCAAGACGCCAGGAAAGGAGGTCTAGGAGCCCTAGAGGAAGAGCAGGTGTATATATGTGTGGGGCAGGGTGTTGGGATTTGGAGTTCTGGATTGGTGAATTGGACATATTAAGTTTGAGGTGTTTGGGGACATTCAGGTAAAGTTGACCATAATCAGATGGAGAGTGGAATTCTAGTGAGAGGTCAAGGGTAGAAATAAAGACTTAGAGTTGTCGGTTAAGACACTGGTTAGATAAAATGGTCTCAGGAGAAGAATAAGGAGAGAAAGGAGAGAAGAGAGCTCAGATTAGCACCCTGAGGAACCCCACATTTCCAGAATGGGGGAAAAAGATACCTAGGAAATTGAGGCATCAGAGAAGCTGAGGAAGGAAGGAGTATCAAGAAATAGAGGGCGCCTGAGTGGTTCAGTCGGTTAAGCGTCTGCCTTCAGCTGAGGTCATGATCCCGGAGACCCAGGATGGAGTCCCACATTGGGCTCCCTGCTCAGTGGGGAGTCTGCTTCTCCCTCTGCCCTTCACCCCTCTGTTGGTTTGTTGCTCTGTTGCTCTCTCTCTCTCCCCCAAATAAATAAATAAAATCTTAAAAAAAAAATAGAGTGGTCAGAGCGTGAAATGCATAATGTAGGTCTCATTAATTGAAGTGTCCCATGGATGCAGTAATTAGAACTACACAAGAGCAGTTTTAATGTTTGAATGTAGGAGATACAGACTCCCAATTTCAATTGGATAAATATTTATCATCAATTAATTCAATAAACACTTATGAGGCCTGGTTATACTAGATGGAGGGGCACAGCTGTGAATAAGAAAAGACTCTGCTCTTTTGGAATGTACAGTGAGACATCACAAACACCTAACCGAATGGGAAAGATAATTTCTCATAAGGTGTAACAAGGAGTGAGGAAGTACAGACTGTGAGTATAGACTATGTTTCTAAGAATCTTGGCTGTGAAGAGGAGGAGCAAGAGAGAATTTTTAGGCAGGAAGGGGTTAGAAAACGCTTCCAGGTCAAGGGGAAAGAGGTGTGGTGGGGCAGAGAGATGCAGGAGAGATGGAGAAACTGATGGAACAGGGTCACTAAGAAGATGGGAAAAGATGCCCCTGGAATATACCTGGAGGGATTTGTTTGGAAGAGGTTAATATTCCCTCCATCTCTTTAGGGCTAGGACCCAGGCCTCTTCCAGTTCTTTGGCACAAATAGGAAACTCCCAAAAGGCAGGGCCTGGATCTCCTCCTTCAGGGTCAGGGTTAGGGTCAGGTCAGGTGGTTGGGAGTCAAGCTGGACTGGAGATGATTGGAGAAGCCCAGATTATGGGTGGGGATAAAGTTGATATGGGATCAGGGTGGAGGTCAGGATTCAAGTTGGGCTCAGGTTAAGGGTCATTGTTGAAGTCTCTGAGTGGGGTCATTGTTGGGTAGGTAAGGGGCGAGGTCCTACCTTCCTCTTGACAGAGCCAGTATTTCTCAGGAAAGTAGGGGTGGCCTGGTATGGAACCCTTATAGCTGTAGTCCTGCACGGCACATTTGACCATCTTCTGCAGGGCTTCAGGATCCTCGTGGCGCTGCATGGTCTGAGTGAGGCCCTGGGCAAGGGGAGAGGGGAGGAGAGGAAATGACTAAGTGCATAAAGGCCCCAGCTTTGGTGTCCTGCTGGACCCAGATCCAGCTCCTATTGAGAAAGTCTGCCCAGTTAGGTGTCCTCCCTATGCCAGAGGGATCCCCATGCCAGTCTTGGCCCCCTCTGCATAGTTCTTTGTTTGAATCACACTTTCTTCCTTTCTTTCTATCCAGGGCTAGGGCTTGGAGCCAGGCATTTGTCCTCAGAGTGCTTTTCTGATGTTTTCATTTCTGTCCTTTCCTTGACTGGGAGCTCTTTAAGGGCAGAGCTGGGTGTTCCTGTTTCCTTGCAGACTGTGTGCTATCTGGGAGCAGGGCCTGGGTCTCCCCAAACAGACCAACAGTCCTCTGGTATAACCTGGAGCCTCAGGAAAGCCTGGCTGCCCTGGGAGCCAGCTGCCTTATGCAGGTGTTTTGGAAGGGAGCACTCTCTGGGAATTTGGCACCTTGAAGGAGATGAAGGATGGGGCTGGAGGGACACCTAATTTAAAATCTCATTCCTAAGGGTGCCTGGGTGGCCCAGTCATTGGGTGTCTGCCTTCGGCTCAGGACATGGTCCCAAGAGTCCTGGGATCGAGCCCCACATGGGCTCAACGGGGAGCCTGCTTCTCCCTCCCCCTCCGCCTGCAGCTCCCCCTGCTTGTGCTCACTCTCTCTCTCTCTCTCTCTGTCAAATAAATAAATAAATAAAATCTTTAAAAAAAAGAAAAAATAAATCAATGAGAGGATTAAAAAAAAAAATCTAATTCCCTGACTCCAACCTGACCCTGATTCTACTGTGGCTCTGATCTTGACACCAATATCACCTTTGACTCTGACACTCACTTTGCCCTCGTTCTTATCCTACCCTGACCTTTTTCCTGATTTTGGTTCAGGCCCTGGGTTCCTCTGCTTCTTGGGGTTTACCTTGTCTTAGCTCCTTCAAGGCCTTATTGGGCTAGATCTGTGGAATTCCTGATTAAGACCTACCTCTGGAGCTCCCTTGTCCTCAGCTGAGGGCAGAATGAATGCCAAGTTAGCTGTAAACCAATAGATCTCTGCAAGCAGCTGGTGTAAAAAGGCAGCTGGGTCATAGGGGTGGGACACCCGGCAAAGTCAGAGACTAGAAGGGACTTCCTCATAGTGGACAGCAAGGTGCTGGGATGGTGACACAGCTACCCTCATTTCCCCCTTACGATCTAAAGAGCAAAGGCTTCTCTTGGCCAAGATGAGACCTGGTGCCCCTACTGCCCTGAAAGCCCCTCAGCTGAGGGGTTTTTTGGATCTCTGTGCCCAGCTGAGGTCTTGTTTTTTGGGCAGATCCTGCACAGTCATACTCCATATAGGTGAAAGAGCCACATGACTTGGCATTCCCTTGACCTTTACACACACACACACACACACACACCCATTTAGGAGAACTCATAGACATCATCAATTTTCCCCTTAGCGGCTTTCCTCAGATGTCTGTATCTTTGATTGTCAGCTCATGGTTAGGAGTAGGAGACTAAAAAAGCTTAGTGGAGGCTCTGAGCTGTTTATGGGTGGGCTTTGTCAACCAAGAGCATTATTGTAGGATTGTCTGGCTAAACCTATTTTTGTCAAATTCTGTCAGTATCTGTAGGACTTCCCTCTTAGGCTGATCAGATTCTTCAGGAGACACTCTCAATTTTTGGCCTCCGGGTAGTGGCCTGGCTACCAGTGTTCTGAGAATCTAGTGGGGAAGAGGACTGTGCGGAGGGGCTGGCATTCAGTATATGGAGGTTCACCTGTATTCAGCATGGTACCCTGCCCTCAGCTGGGCCTGGTATCCTCAGTCCTGAGATCCTTGCCAAAAAAATTAGCCTTCTGATTTTTGCAGAGATGGGACGGGCAGTCACCCCGTGGCATGGAAATAGAAGAGGGGATTAGTGGGCTTAACTGATTTTTAAAAAAAATATATTTAAAAAATTATTTATTTGAGAGAGAAAGAGCGTGCCCATGAGTTGGGAGGGGTGGGAGAGGAGCAGAGGGCGAAGCAGACTCCCTTCTGAGCAGGGAGCTGGATGGGGGGCTTGATGCGATGCGGGACTCAGTTGAGGGGCTGGATCTCAGGACCCCAAGATCATGACCTGACCCGAAGGCAGCTGCTTAACTGACTGAGCCACTGAGGCGCCCTGGTTTAACTGCTTCTTAAACAGCTTTCAAATCATCCTTATTTTAGCTGTAGTCCTGTCCTATCTTCAGTTCCAGAGAAGCCCAGTATTACCAATTCCTGAGCCTTTTTGAAAATTCTGCAGTTTTAGTTGAATTATGTCTTGTGTTTCCTACTGCTGGCTTTGGATTCAGCTTTCTCAGATCTGCTGTCAGGTACTAGTTATTGATCATACTTTCTAGCTTCTGAAATTTTGTAGCCATTGTCCTTTCTCTCTCACTAGTCTTGTGAGTTTATGTGTCAAATATCCATTTACAGGTGTTCTAGAGGGTTTCAGGAGAGAGTCAAAATACATATGTTCAATTTCAACCCAGAAAATTATAGTTGTATATTCTATACACTAATCTTTTGTCAATTACAATTTATTGGATCTCTGTGCAAATATCTTCTCTCAGTTTCTGGCTTGTATCTTCATTTTCTTTATAGTGTCTTTTGATGAAAAGAAGGTCTTAATTTTTTAAAAATTTTTTATTGTTATGTTAATCACCATACATTACATCATTAGTTTTTGATGTAAGAAGTTCTTAATTTTAACATATATGAATTTATTAATCTCTTATGTAGTACTTTTGTGACTTGTTTAATAAATACAACCATACTCTAAGATAATGGAGATAATGTCCTATATTTTCTTCTAAAAGCAAATAGTTTTACTTTCCATAGTTAAGTCTTTAATCTGTCAGGAGTTGCTATTGGTGTGAGTTAGGGATCAGTTTTCTTTTTATCCATCTGGATAACCAACTGTCCCATTGAATAGTCTATGTCTCCCCCCGCTCCCCCCCCGCACCAATATATAATGCTATGCCAATTCTGATATATCTTTTCCCATAGCTTTACCTTCAGTCATCTCTGTTGTATATTGTTCCATATATATATGGCCCCATATCTGATCTGTTTCATTCTCTATCAGTCAATTTGGCTATTCCTACAGTAATACTATGCTTTATAAATGTTAGACACTCTTCCTATCTACATGCATGTTATACCTCTCCGTTTATTTATTTTTTTAATCAAAGTTTTATATTATCCATAGAGTTTTATACACATTGTTAGATCTCTACTTACTGTTGTTTTTTGCTAGAATGATATACGTGTGTGTGTGTTTGTGTGTGTGTGTATTTTATTTTTTAAAATTATGCTTCCTGGGTCACCTGGCTGCCTCAGTTGGAAGAGCATGCGACTCTTGATCTCGGGGTCTTGAGTTTGAGCCCCATGTTGGGTGTAGAGAGTACTTAAAATGAATAAATAAATTAAAACTTAAAAAAATAAAATTATGTTTCCTAAATATTTGCTGTTGAGGTAAAGAAATGTGATTGACTTTTTATCTTATATTCAGCCAACTTTCTAAATTCTTATTCTAATAATTTGTAGATGCTACGTACACAACTGTATTGTCTGTGAATAATAAGTTTTTTGTATTCCTTTCTTACCCTTGTATCTTACATGATATTGTTTTCCAAAATACAACTTATCTGATATTGTTTTCTAAATTTTGGCACTTTCCTTAAATTTAACAAATTAAAAATCATAATTATTTTTCATTGACATTGGTTGCTTAAATTTAACTCACGTTTACCAATTTCTTAGCTCACCATTCGTTCTTGCATCTCAACCTTCCTTTTGTGATCACTTTCCTTCTCCCCAAAGTATATCCTTTAGAAGTTCCTTTATTACAGGTCTGATGGTAGTAAACATTTTCATTTTGTTTGCTGTAAATGTCTTTATCTTTCTTTTGTTCTTGAAAGAAAGATACTTTGGGCACCTGGGTGGCTCACTCAGTTGAGTGTCTGCCTTTTGCTCAGGTCGTGATCTCTAGGTCCTGGGATCCAGCCCCAGCATTGGGTTCCCTGCTCAGTGGGGAGTCTGCTTCTCCCTCTCCCCCTGCCCTCCTCCCTGCTCGTGCTCTCTCTCGCTCTCTCTCTCAAATAAATAAATAAGATCTTAAAAAAAAAAAAGGAAGACACTTTGAAAACAATTTTTCTCTGCCTGTTTTTAAGGTCATCTCTTAAGCTGGTGTTGGGCAGTTCCACTGTGAGATACCGATGTGTGAAATTCCTTCTATTTATTCTATATCTGTGGATTCATTTCTTTTATTAGTTCTGGAAAATATGGAGCCTTTTTCTCTTCAGATAATGCCTATTCTCCTTTCTGCTCTATCCTTCTGGGACTCTGAGTAGATGTGTATGAGATCTTCTCCTTCTGTCTTTCATATTGCCTACTGTTTTTTTTCATATTTTTTAACCACTTGGTCTCTGTGCTGCATTCTGGGAAATGTCTTTCATTCTTTCATTTCACTAATACTCTTTTTTTAAGTTTTTATTTTAATTCCAGTTAGTTAACAGTGTTATATTAGTTTCATTTGTACAATATAGTGATTCAACAATTCCATACATCACCCAATGCTCATCACAAGCGCACTCCTTAATCCCTATCACCTATTTCACCCATCCCCCCACCCACCTCCCCTATGGTTACCATCGGTTTGTTCTCTATAGTTAAGAATCTGTTTCTTGGTTTGTCTCTCTCTCTCTCTTTTTGTTTTAAGATTTTATTTATTTATTTGAGAGAGAGAGAGAGAGCATGAGCAGGGGAAGGGGCAGAGAGAGAGAGGGAGAAACAGACTCCCTTGCTGAGCAGGGAGCTTGACGTGGGGCTCAATCCTAGGACTCTGGGATCCTGGCCTGATTGAAGGCAGATGCTTAACCAACTGAGCCACCCAGGTGCCCCCTGTCTCTCTCTCTTTTTTCCCCTTTGTTCATTTGTTTTGTTTCTTAAATTCCACATGTGTGAAATCATACGGCATTTGTCTTTCTCTGACTTATTTCATTTAGCATTATACTCTCTTGCTCTGTACATGTCGTTGCAAATGGCAAGATTTCATTCTTTTTTATGGCTGAATAACATTCCATTGTATACATATACACCTCATCTTCTTTATCCCTTCATCAGTCAATGGACACTTGGCTGCTTCCATATCTTGGCTATTGTAAATAATACTGCTATGAACATAGGGGTTCGTGTATCTCTTTGAATTAGGGTTTTTGTGTTCTTTAGGTAAATACCTAGTAGTGTGATTGCTGGACTGTAGGGTAGTTCTATTTTTAACTTTTTGAGGAAACTCCGTACTGTTTTCCAGAGTGGCTGTACCGGTTTGCATTTCCCCCAACAGTGTAAGGGGGTTCCCCTTTCTCCACATCCTCACCAACACCTGGTGTTTCTTGTGTTGTTGATTTTAGCCATTCTGACAGGTGTGGGGTGATAGCTCTTTGTAGTTTTGATTTGCATTTCCCTAATGGTAAGTGATGATGAACAGCTTTTCATGTGTCTGTTGGCCATCTGTATATCTTCTTTGAAGAAATATCTGTTCATGTCTTCTGCCCATTTTGTTTTATTTGAGAAAGAGAGAGAGAGAGAATGGGGGAGGGCAGAGGGAGAGGGAGAATCTTAAGCAGGCTCCCCACCCAGTACACAGCCTGATTCGGGACTTGATCTCATGACCCTGAGATCGTGATCTGAGCCAAAATCAAGAGGCAGACATTTAAGTGCCTGCGCGACCCACGTGCCCCTCTTCTGCCCATTTTTAAAATTAGATTATGTTTTTTGGGTGGTTGAGTTTTCTAAGTTTTTTATATATTTTGAATACTAACCCTTTATTGGATATATCATTTGCAAATATCTTCTCCCATTCCCTAGGTGGCCTTTTAGTTTTCTTGGTTGTTTCCTTTGCCACGCAGAAGCTTTTTACCTTGATGTAGACTAATAGTTTACTTTTGATTTTGTTTCCCTTGCCTCAGGAGACATATCTAGAAAAAAGTTGCTTCAGCCAATGCCAAAGAGGTTAACAATACTTGTTCTTCCAATCCATGAGCAAGGAATGTCTTTCCATTTCTTTGTGTCATCTCACTGACACTCTTAAGCTATGTCTAATCTGCCCTTTGACCCATCTACTGAGGTTTTGGTTTTAACACACATATTTTTTATTTCTAAAATTTCTATTTACTTCTTTTTTTTTTTACATTTGTCTGGTCTTTAAAAAGTATAATCACTTGCTTGCTCATTTTGATGATTTCACTTCATTTTTTTAAAATGCATAATAATTATTTTGTATTCTTTAACTGTTAATTCCAATATCTGAAGTCCTTGGAGGTTTTAGTCTGTTGCTTGTTATTTCTGCTGACTGTCAATATGGTGGTTTGTTTCCTTATACCTCTTATTGCAAACTCAGATTTGATTGGCCTTACTGTGAAGGATACCTGGAAACCTACATTGAGGGTATTTTCTACTACGGAGGATACACATTCATTGTATGTGTGAGTGTGTGGTGGGGGCAGGGAGCCAGAGATCACTAAACTTTCTGGTTCATTTTGGAGTTTAAGATTTAGTTTCTTCACCTCACTTAAAGCTTGGACTCCTGCTTGTAGTGCTGTTATTGGCATTCATTCTCAGGGCATCCTAAGTATACTTACCAATCACCTCCATGAGAGTCCAGAAAAAAATAAAAGTAAATTTTTATGCAAGACCTAGTTGTTTTGAAGCAGGAGGGTCCTTGAGAGTATGCCTCATTCTTCATTCTTAATCCCACTGCTGTCTGGCTTTCACTTCTCTCCACTCACTGAAGCTGTCTGGCCAGATTGCTAAGGATTACTACAACCAAGAGATCCATGTCTGTGTTGACATTTGGTACTGACCTTTGTCTAAAATGCTGTCTTTGTTGGTTTCTCCTTGATTTTCCTCCTATCACCCGGTCTCCTTTTATGGCTCTTCTTCCTTTACTTACCTCTTAAATAATCTGTGTTCTCCAAAGTCCATCCTTGACCTCTTTCTTATTTTTCCTTGGCAATCTCCTACACTCCTATGGCTTTAGCTCTGCCTGTATGTTGATGATTTCAAAATTTGTATCTGTAGCCCAACCCTTTTCCCTCTGCTTCAGATTAAGTATATCCAACTACCTACCAGATATCTCCTGTTAGTCCTTGAATATTTTTGTCCCAAAATGAACTCCCAATCTTTTTCTAATCTGCAATTCCAAATCTCAGAACTACTATTCCTCTAGTTGCCAGAGCCCTAAACCCAGGAGTCATCCTAATCTCTCCTCTCTTCTTCATACCCAGATGGTGACCAAGATCTATTGATCTACTTCTTAAAATTCCCTCCTATTGAATGTCAAAAAGCAGGCAGGCACTCTCATATTTTTTTGGTGGGCATGTAAGTTATAACCCTTATTACAGCAATTTGAAGTGTATATCAAAAGTTTTCAAAGTGTGCATATCCTTTCTCCCAACAATTTCATGTCTAGTAATATATCCTAAGGAGATAGTTGATGTCTACAGATGTACACAAATGATTGTACTAGCAACATTTTGTAAATAACCTAAATTTCCAATAAGATTCCTTAAACATAATTTGGTACATTCATAAAATACCATAGTCATTAGAATGACATTATAGAATATTTTTACACAAAAAAATGTACCTGATATGTGGTTATATGCAAAGAGCAAGATTCAGAGTGTTAGTATACAATGTGATGCCTTTTCATAAAAAAATGTTTGCTTCTTAAAATGGCATATAATAATAAATTAACAATGGTTAATTTGGGTAGTGAGATCATAGCCCTTTTTTCTTTGTGTTTCTCTGAGTTATCCCAATTTTCTGCATTTTATAATTATAAACATTATTTTAAAAAATTCTCTCCTATTCAAAAAATTCCCTTTTCACTGCCACAGTCTCTCCTTATCTCTCACCTACATCCTCCTTTCCTTATCCTTCACCACTTCACTGGGCTTCCTGCCCTGAGCCCCAGCCCCTCCAATCTCCTGCCACTGTGGCTCTTCTCACCATTGGGCTGGCCTCTCCCTCTGCTCCAGTTCTTAATTCCTGGTGGATCCTTGTCCGTAGGCTGCCCTTTCCCCTGACTCTTTGCTGTTGGAAGCCTCCTCCCTCAAGATCTCTTAGTAGACCTGCCCTTCAAGAACCAGGAATGCTCTCCTGATTTTCCAGCTCTTGTATCAGTACATCCACTGGGCAACCCTATTTTGTTTACTTGTCTGCTGAGAGCTCTTCACAGGCTCAGCCAGGCTTTTCATTGTTGTGTGTGCATTGTGCCTGGCACATGTAGATACTTCCCACTTGTTGGACGGTACACACAGATAAATTCCCTTGGGCAGAGTCACAAGTAGACTCACAGATCTTGTTTCCATTTTGTGAATGCTGCACAGACCCACTTGGCCACTCATCTTCAAGTACAGACATACAGACACAAGAAGACTATAATATATATGCATGAAAACATGCCTATAGCACATTTTCTGGCATATCCCACAGGCAGCCTCAGGGCCTTTGCATTTTCTGATCACTCTGCCTAGAACCCTATTCTGTCAGCTAGCTCTTCATAGGGGTAGTTCTCTCATCTTTCTGGTCTCTGCTCAATGTCACCGTGAGAGAGAGGTCTTCCATAACCTCCCTATTTAAGTAGCTCTGCCTGGTTACTTTCCATTTCCATTACCCTGTTTATTTCCTATACAGCATTTTGGATAATTTATAAAACTTGTCTATTTTTTGATAATTATTTGTCTCTCTCCACCTCCTACCCTAGTGGAGTAGGAGGGCACCATGAGGGCAGAATTTTGTACTATTTTATATATTATTATAAATTCCATGCCTAGGCAAATGAATAAAATCCATACATGCATGTGTGTGCGCACGGGCACGCACACGCACACGCACACACACACATACATAGCTACAAATAATTACAAACACATAATGACAACCACACACTACCAGTCATTCAGACACACATGACCATTCACTCTGGCCTGTCCACCCACCCAGCCTCTACTTACCGGCGTCACAAACTTGTTGGCTTCCCAGGCCCACAGAGGTGGGTCTTTATAGACCTCCTTGATAGAGGTAGGAGCCCTGTAGGAGTCACTGTAGGTGCTGATGGGGGTCTTGGTCTTGCGGGAGAAGAGGAACATAGTGAGGTCTAGGGGATGCCGTGGTGGGCTCTACCTACCAAGGGCTCCTGTAAGACATCAGTGACCACCCCCTCTGCCAGAACCACACCTCCAGCCTGGCAGGTGCCCCTAGCTCCTGTGACCCCCTCCTATGGAGGATCTCTCAGCTGCCCTCCCTCACAACCTTCCTGCTCCTACCCCACCCTGCTTCTTTCACTAGGATGGGCACTGCCCATTATGATATCACCTGGCTCAGCCCCATCCCATATCACCTGGCTCAGCCCCATCCCTGGTGAGGAGATCCAATTCCCTTCCTACCCCCAGCCTCTTCCTGCCTCGAGCCTCTCAAAAGAGTCCAATTTCCAAGAGTTCAGAGGGTCCCTGGAGTTCATCTAGGCCAAACTTCTCACTTTGATGAAGAGAAATGGAGGTTCTGAGACATCAAGTGACTTGTCCAGGGTCATGCAGCAGGTCAGTGGCAGGCCTGGCCTGGGAACCCATGAGTGGAAGCAGAGTGAAATGTGTATCCAGAGAATCAGTTCTCTCCCCTTCCCAGCCCACCTGCCTCTTGCCCATGACCCAGGTAGGGAGCTGAGGCTGGCTTGTTTGATGCTTTTAATATCATTATTTGTGTTACACGATACACAACCAAGGATGATGGTCAATACTGCGATGGAAATGTTAAAAAAAAATATTATACACGGCTCATGTCTTCCACACACCTTCCTGGAAATAAATTAGTGAGCACGGAGAAACCTGGCTGGTTGGCAGCCAGAGCTGAGGGTAGAGGGAGTGTTAAGGCAGTATCTACAAGGGGGAAGGATGATGGGGAGGGGGGCAGGGGGCAAGCTAAGGCCTCAATTCCTCCCCTCCAACATCCCAGACAGGGAAGGAGGGACCCACACACTCTCCTAGACCCAGAAAGTGCTGGCTACCAGCTTCCTACTTCTCACCACCACTTGTATACTGCCTCAGTTGGAAGCCCTTGCCTGCCAGGGAACTAGTGTGTCCTGTGGGCAGCGAGCTTTTCCCTGGTTCCTCAGGGCCAGAGAGGTTGAGCAGTGGGCCAGTCATAGAGCAAGTCAGCAGCAAAGGCAGTAGTCTAAATGAGCCCTCATGGGGGCCCTGCCCGGAAAAGAGGAGGTACCCATGTTCTAGATGGGTGAGTCAGGGAGCCCAGGGTAATGATAGTAGTGGTAGGAAGCTTGGCTGTGGGGCCCAGCTGACGGGATGGGGATGCTGACCAGGGTGGCAGAGAGAGGTTCAGATGGGGGCCAGTATGGACCTTGTAGGCCCTGCAGGTGCTTTCTTTGTCCTTGCCTTCCTTTGGTGCTTTCTCATCACCTACCCAGGGTCCCTGCACTAGATGAGGTAGTGGAGGGTGGAGGAATTGAGGGTAGAAAGCTGCACCTCAACACTCTGGGGTTGGCAGCCTGGGGGTGTGGTGCATGGAGAGGGGCTACCCTTCCTAAGCCAACAGCCTTATTCTCTCTTCTCACTCCCCTCCCCTCCTCTCAGCTCCCATCTCCCAGGAATGGCAGACAGGGAGTGGGCCGTGGGGGTGTCCTCTGCACACTTGCAGCACATGAGTGATATATCTGAGAGTGGATACACCAGCATGTGTGGGGTGTCAGCATGAATGGGGAGTGTACACCCTGGTCCTGGGATATGAGGTTTGTGAGGCGTAAGACCTGAGCAGTCTTAGGCTCTCTGTGCTTTCATATTTCTTCATATGGGGGCAGGTCTCTATTGCCTAGTCCAGGGGTGTGGGGCTTAGTCACCTCCTCCCTCTCGATTTTCATCCTCAGCTTTTCTGCCCTCTCCCTCCACACCAGCACCAGCAGCAGAAGCAGCAGTACACACACTCTGACTCACAGATGCCACAGAGAGCTACACACACCACATATACCCCCACACATCCATGTTCACAGAATACACACGTATTCCCAAATAGATCCCAAGCACACACAGGCCCCTTAGGAACTTCCCCTTTCCTTTCCACACAGACACACAACTCAGGAAGTCCCATAGGTGTATTCAAAGACACACAGAGACCTGCCTACACACTTCCACAGAAATTTCTATGAAGAAATTCCTTCAGGTTTGAAAAGACCTTAGAAGTAATTTCAGACACCACTCATTTTACAGTTGAGGAAACGAAAGCCCAGAGAAACAACACAAGTGCTTGTTGAGATCACAGAGAGAGTGCTAGCATGAGGGCCACACCCCCAGCTTCTGACTCCGGGCCAGGGCTCTGAGTCCAGTGCTGAGCAGCCTCTCACATCGTAACAGACCACACAGTCATTTTCCCGCCACGGACACTCACATCCATGACAGAACCAGACATCTGGAGAGACAGGCCCAACACAGAGACATAGACACATACCCTGACAGCCACACACACACACACACACACACACACACATTCTGCCAAGTTCTCCCTACCATACACATACAACCACTCTTTTCTCCTAAGCTTGCCTCCTTGAAGATTCTTGCTGGGAAGCAGTGTCTGGGATCTTGCGCTGGAGGGAGATGGGAAGGGGGCATTCGAGGCCAGCCCTACCTCCTGCTTCCAGCCTGGGATGGAGACCAGTGAAGAAGTGTGGGGGTGGGCGGAGCTGGCAGAGAAATAGATACATTGGCTGGGGGTGGGTGAGGACAGATCATATCACCCCAAACTGGCCTGTCTCTAAGGCCTACCTTACCCTTCTCCACAGCCCAGAGAGCAAGGAAGGGGGTGAATGGGACAAGGAGGAAGAAGAAGGCAGTGATTCTATGGGGGGGGCAGTATCCCACCGGATAGCTTTGTCAGGCTTCCCATCTGGAGAGGAGGGTGAAACAAATAGTTACATGGGCCGACGGGGGGCGTGTGGAGGGGGCTCTGAGGTGCTGGGCCCTGCTCCCACTGCCCTGGGCCTTTCTCCCTCCCAGCCCCTTTCCTTATCAGGCTGGGGCTGGGGGGCTCATGGCTTCGCTGGGGTGGGGCCAAGCCCCTGGCTTTGTGATCCCTACCCCCACTCATTAGTGTTGGCCTCCCTGCTGTCTAGTCCTTCCTCTCCCCCACTGGACTGCAGCTTTGGGGAGGGGGGCAGGGTGCTGGGCAAGGTCCCCCAAGTAACTGAACAAACAGCCCCCACTGCTCCTCAGCCCCCGGGGTGGAGAAAGACCCGGTTTTGGTTTCTCCGGCTCCATGAACACACAGAGGTACACGTCCTACCATAGGAGGAAGCAATGACTGTTACGAGGTTGGCGGCTGTAGGGGGCACAGGGGCCGGGGGCAGGCGGACAAGCTGCGGAGGGGTTGGCCCCTGCCCTGTCCAACCTCGCCCACGGGGGGCCCTGCCCCGGGCGGCCGCAATGGCCCCTCCCGCTACTGAATGTGGCAGGCGGTGGAGGACGTGGCCTGGCAGCACATGCAGGTGGGGTTCACGGACTTGGGGGGGATGAGGTCCAGGTCCTCATCATCAGGGATCTCGTCTAACCGGTAGCCATCCTTCAGCAGCTGGATGTTCAAGTCTTGGTTGATCTGCTGTAGACAAAGGGGAAGGAGGTCAGGCTTGGGGCTATCCGGAGGCACCACCCACAGCCGGGTCACATCCCCAGGCCATCTGCACCCCCCTTAGTCCCATCGCAGGTTACCGAAATGCCAGGCTTTGCCCCTTCTCAGGCCCCAGCTTCAGTTCTGGCCTCACTTCCTTACAGATACATCCTTGAGGTCCCACCTCTCTACGAAGGGCATCCCATTCTAAGGGCAACTTCTGCCTCTATTTGGCTGGCCCCTATTTCAGGCCTAGCCCAATAAAATATCACCTGGATTTCACACTCCATTCTGTTCAGGAGCCCTGTTCTAACCACAGGCTCAAGCCTTGCCCCTAAAACCGGGCTCCCTGCACTTGAGGCCACTGTCTAAGGGCCTCCAGGTTCGATCCGACACTGTCCCATCCCAGGCCCCACCCCATTATGCCCGATCCCCATGGGGCTCCACCTAGCTTTGCCCATTGCTCCTTCAGGGTGTGATTTGGTGTTGGCCCCACCCCTTTTCCCGGATGGAGGTGGTCCTGCTCAGATGCGTCTAGGGTCCCAAGGAGTGGGGCCTCACCTCAGCAGAGGAGTAGCCAGAGGAGGAATATCTGGACATGTCAAAGTCATCATCGCTGGTGGTGGAAGAAAAAAGACAGAGAAACGATTCCCTGATATTAAATAGAAAACTCCCTGTACCCCACCCCCTACCCCACCAGTCCAAACCTTCCCCCTCCCCCACACTTCCAAGTAAACAGCAGATCTAAATAAAAGATTGTGCTTGCTGTGCAAACGCCCAGCTTCCCTAGCCCCGCCCTTCTAAATGAATTGCCGCCTGGAACCTCCTTCTAAATAGAGCTGTTACATCCTTCACCCCCATTCCTCTCACCTTTCTTCTAGGCACAAATCCCCCTGACTTGTTGGGTTTTCCCAAAGTTCAAGTGTAGCCACGTGCGTTCTCAGCAGTCGGGCTCCTCCCTTAGAAGGAGCAGGACGGTGGACATTGCATCAGGGCCCGTTCAAGGGGCAGCAATCGCATCAGTCGTCTCAGGACAGCATCAGACTGTGCCAGTCCCCTTTTCCTCTCCCTGCCCTTTCCTACTGCCAGACAAAAAAATTCCATTCCCTAGGGGATTCATCCTTGGAGGGCTCCTGGCTGCCTGAGAAACACCCCACATCCCAATTCTGACAATACAGCAGGTGTGGCCTCTACAGGCCACTTGTATGTTCATACAGGTTCCTATGGCTTGCCCGGCTGCCCCAGCATCCCTGTACACACCTGTCCGTGTCAAGGGCTACCAGTGGCTTCTCATCTGGGCTCTGGTCAAGCGAGGAGTAGCCTTTATTGGGGACGACCAGCCTGGGTAGAAAATTTAGGGGATTGGATTGGCAACTGGAGCACATAGCCTGGTGAGGAACTGGACTGGGCCCTGACCCACCACTTCCCCCTGCCCCTTGGATCCTGTTGAGACTCTCTCCTCTCAGAAAGGAGCTGGGCCTGAGGAGGGGAGGGAAGAAGGAGAGGCATAGGACCAGCAGAAATAGATGTTGACTGGCAGGGTCCAGGTGGGGTAGGGGGGCCTCTACCTTGTCCGGGCCATGACATTGTTCTTCTTGGGTTGCTGGTTGACGGGGCTACCCATGCTGCCATTCTTCAGGGAGCCCTTCCGGGCCAGCTCCCGCTGCTTCTCTGTAGGAGAACATGGGAAGGAAGCTGTGTCCTGCTCCCAGGGCCATCCTACCTTACTGCTCAGAACTGACTGGGCTGGGCCTCCATTGTGAAACCCCTTCCTTCTCTAGGAGCCAAGGCAGGGATCCCAACTCCAGGCCCTGTTGCTTGGTGGAGACAGTACTTGGCCCTGCACAGCCTGAGGCAGATAGTAAGAGGCAACAGGAAGAGGCTGAGCCCTGTCTTCCAGAAGCTGTACTCCCAGGTGGGGCAGTTAGTGTATGCATGATGCCAGAGAAAGGCTGGAGAGGGAGTGAGGAAGCAGAAGGATGGAGAAGTCAGGGCTTCTTGCAGGTGATACCTTGAGCTGGAGGAGAGGAGGGCATTCTAGGAAGGAGGGATAGCATATACAAAAATGCATTTACAAGTGAGCAAAATAAGTATGGATCCAGATGGGATGGAGGGGTGAAGTTGGAGGGAGGTCAGTTTGGAAAAATAGGATACATTTGTTCAGTCATTTATTTATTTGCCGTTCACCTTTATGTCTTAGATCCTGTGTTAAGGGGTTGGGGGCTCCCTCTGGTTACAAACAGAGCTTGAAGGCCTTGAATGCCAGACAAAGGAACTTAGGATTATTGCAGAAGCCAAAGGAGCCACTGAAGTTGTGGAGTGGGAGGGGAAGAATGGGGCTAGTCGGGTAAAGGGCAAGAGGCTGGGGAGCTCCTCTGGCTATACTTGTGCCAGCCTTTGAGTTCTCCAAGGCTCTAGAGTCTACCAGATCTATGGGGCTGGCCACCAGGTGACCCACTGTCTGGTATGTGACACTGTTACCAGTAGCCAGTAGCTGCCTGGGCCTTGGAGGGGGCCTGCCTACCCTTTCCTACTCATCTTAAGCCCAGATGTGGAAAAGGGAATGTTGGGTAGAAAAAGATGCTAGGGGAAAGCTCTCATAAAAAAAACACTAGCTCTAGAGAGGCAGGATGGAATGGGACTTTCCAGCTACTGTGACTCTGAAATTTCCCCTGACCTCCATGTCTCTTAGTTTCTCGTCTCTCAGTCTCTGACCCTCTGTCTTTGCCACTGCTCCTCTGACTCCAGTTTTTTCCAGCTTCTTTCCAGCTGGCAGCAGCTGCCATGACCACTCCAGGACTCTAGGGGGTGCAATTTGCCTGAAAGTTCCCGGTGGTGAGTTTCCTTAGTGCAAGGGGAACAAGGTTCTGAGTTTTCATGAGGAGCTTTGGTGGTAATATAATGGGGAGGAAAATAAGTGTTATTTTAAAAGCATGTTGGAATTGCTTGAAATAGTGAAAAAAATGCAGACAATAAACTGGCAAAACCAAACTATGGACTACTATGCAACCATTTAAAAGTGTGAAGTCATTCTTCATATACTGACATTGCCAGGAGCTCCAAGGCATTAAATGGAAAACAAAAACAAAGTTTCAGAAAATGTGTACAGTATGATACCACTTATGTTATAAAATAAAACAAGAAAAACTAAAAAAGCTTAGAATGATTATCTCTGGGGAGGAGAATGTGGTGGAGGAGGGAGTAGAAAGAAGAGTTACACTTGTTAAAATACTTGTATTGTTAAACAGTAAAAAATAAAACTGGCTGCAGTTGGAGTCCGGTGTCTTGGGAAGATGAACAAATCCACTGAGAGAACTGCTCTCTTGTTTAGAAAAACAGCCTGAGGAGATCCCAGGATGTGGTCTGGAATGAGAGAAGCAAGATAAAAACAAAACAAAACAAAAACACCCCCCCCACACACATACCACAAGAAAACAAACAAACAAACAAACTGAATAAAAGAATAGGACTCTGTGAAAAGGAGCTCCAGCAGCTACAACGAAAGGGTTTTACAACAGATGGAAAAAGGTTCCTAGGAGGAGGGGTCCAGTATTTACTGGGCAGCCAGTCTGAGGAGAAAATGGCCAAGACGGCAGCAGGGATGGCAGAGGAGTTTTGAAGGATAGTCATGAGTTGTATTTAATTGTAAAACTGTTTCCTGGATGCACTGTGCTGTAATTCTTCTTCATGAAACCAAAATTTAGTAAGTCTGGTATATGCAGCGGCCTTTGGTGAGTGAAATTTTGACCCCTGAAGGGAGAAGGGCAGTGTCTGGCTTAGGGTGAAGTGAGAAGAGCAGCTGCGGGAGCTATGGGCAGTGGTTGGGAGCCAAGTGGCTTCAAGGAAGCAAGCTGCTTCTGACTGCCTTCAGAATGGACATGAAATAAACCCCCAAAGGAAAGGTGACCCTGGAAAGGGGGTGGGGAGATATTTGGGCTTACTTTTAGGGAAAGCTCCCCAAAACAGGAGCCAACCAGGCCCTGAGATCTCTAGATGGATGAGGGAGGAATAGGGAGAGGATCTCAGCTTCTAGGTTTTGGGATCCTCACTCCTTTCTACCCCTCAAACATAATTAACTGACACCCCACCTCTAAGGCAGTTTCCTCCCAGCCTGGCCCAGTGTTTGGTGGGACTTCTAACCCTCTCTCTGGGGTTGCATGGTTTTATCCCTGAAGCCATCCCCTAGAACACCTGGAGTCTTCTTGGCCTCAGAGATGCTTCCTAGAGCTTTGGGTCCTGCAGAGAACTGTAACTTCCCTCTTTGCCTTGCAGGAGATAAGGTGTCTGGCAGTGCCGATGACTCGGTGGCTTGAGTCTTGAAATCATCTAGTCTCAGTTGGTTTATTTGTGCCACCTCATTGCAGACCCAGCCCAGAGCAACTTGTCCACTCCCCACATCTCCCTCACCCCCCAGACACACTCACCCAGCTTCACTTGGAGCGGGGATGGTTTGTAATTCATGGCTACTGACTCACCCTCCCGGGCGTCACAGTCCCCGTCTGAGATGGAGGCGGCGGCTGGGTCCTGTGGGGAGAAAGCGGAGAGACAGAAAGTTGTTAGGTAGTGAATATATGGGGCTGCTCTCAGTCCTGAAGTTGGTCTTCCCACCCATCATCTGGGCTCATTCACCCCTGGCAGTAGACAGGCAATTCAAGAAGGGAAGGGCAGACCCATACACGCTGGAAGGAAGACCCTGAACTGCATAAAAGAGCCGCGGATCTCAGCCCCACTTACACCCACCTGGGTGTCTGTCTTCAAAGGCCTGTGTGAGCCAGGCTTCCCCCAGAAAGTCTACTGTGATTCCTTAAACCCACAGGATCTCCTTGTCCAACCTCTCATACTAGTTGCCCTGTTCCTCAGGGGCCTTCCTGTATACTTGTTTGGAAAGGTCTTTCTAGGTTCCTGTGAGTTTAAATCTGGATTAAAGTCAGAGTACCTGCTCCCTAAGACAGGCCTTCTCCTTCTGTTTCCCCTAGCATTGGATGGGTCCCTTCACTGGATCCAGAGAACTAACTGGCCAAGCCAGGCCAGACTTCAAGATTATAGCCAATGGACAAGGTTCTCACGAGAATGTCTTCATTCCACAGATGAATCCTAAAGAGTGTCTCCTGAAAGGTTGGCTGGGTATGGTAGGTGAGAAGAGGAATAATGGCAAATCAGTTGGTGACCAGTTAGTCCTGTGCTACTCAGTAATCAGGCCTCACTGTTTCCTCCAAAACACCCCAAACCTCTGGTACAAGGTCCAGGGCCCTGGCCCACCCTACTGTAGTCAGTTGGAAGGGGCTGGAGTCATGCACATTCTCCCTGAGAAACTGATGACCAACCACTGATATGGGTACTGCCACTCTAGATATCCGCCTAGGATTAAAGAATGGTAAGCCCAAGGTCTGAGACTGCAGAGTCGACCCAAGGCTCTGTCTGTTCTGCCTTTGGGGGTACAGACAGCAGACAGACAGGTAGAATGCTCCAGGATTAGCCCCACAGTGTCAGACTCAGGGATCTGAGTGACCCAGCAAGGGAAGGACATATAACTATTATGGTGGCTTCCGTTCTCTTTAGAATGAGGCAGTGGGGATGAAAACATGCTTGTCATTATGGGGAAAGGAAAAAGTCTAGAATGTTTGGAGGGAAATCCTAGCCTTGCCCGTGTTCTTTCAGGCCATCCAGAGTACAAGACCCTGGGTGGGATCTGTTGCCACAGTGGTTTGTGATCCTGAGGGCAGAACCTGGGCCTCTGTCCTCTGCTCTGAACTGCACCCCTTAGCTGGGATTGTAGGGGGTAGGGCTCAGAACAAGTGGGGTGCTGCAGTGCCCCAGTGCATCTCAGGCAGCTTCCCATGCTGCAGTCCTCTCCAATCCTTTATTTTCTGCCTCTTTGTCTCAGCTCCTCCTGAGAGACTCCTAATGGATATCATTTGTCCCATGCAGACCTGGGCCCGTACATGCCTCTCTGTGGCCAAAACAGCCTTGAGGTGTTACCTGCAGGGTGCATGAAGACCTGACAGCTGGGCCCCTTAGGCCACAGGTAGGACCTACTCCCAAAGCAGCTTGAGGGATGACTTCTCAAAGGGTAAAGCCCATAAAGATGCCTGTGGAATCCCACCAGGGAAGCACTGGCACCTCTCCAATTTCCTTCATCACATTACTTTTTCTGTAGCATTTCTCATATGTCACACATACCATATCCATTTGGATATGGTTTCCTCTTCTGGCTTCGAGGACACTGTGATCCTTGGCTCATGTTACCTCTTTAACCATCATTTTTTACTCCCCCCACAGCCCTTTGTCTCTTCAGCAGTTTCTGGCCCTCAGCCCGCCTCTCTCCTTAGGGAGCCCTGATGTCTCCTACAGTTTAGAGTAACATTTTTACACTGGTGACTTCTAAATCTATGGCCTTCCCAATCATGCATCTTCTCTGGAACCCTCCACTCCATCCATTCATGTAAGCCTCACTGTCCTTTCCCTGGGGGTGACTTTAAACACATGAGCCCCTCAGGCATTTGGGGCTAACCTTTCCCTCTTCGGCACAGATGAGTTCATCAGAGTTGCTTCTCAGTCTGGAGGTACTGGGTAGAAATGGTAACAGTGGAGGGAAACTGCAGGAAGAATAGGGTCTGAGTGGGGGCTGGGAAGCTGTTGAGCAATTCTGGTCACAGGGACCCACATTTGGTCCTCAACGCCACTGGGCGGGTCTTGGTGGCTTTTGATCCCTGAGAGAAACTGCCAGTTCCTATGGGTCACAAGCCAGGGTTCAGAGCCGTAGGCTTGAGAGGTCCCATGCAAAGCCCACCATTCAGCATCTCCCCTGTCACTATCCATGATAGAAGGCCATCTTAGTGGCAAGGACAAAGATCTTGGGCACTGTGCCTGAAAATTCAAGTCTTTACTGTGGGCTTCCTGTATGTCTTCCCTGAGAAACACAGCCAATGCACCATGACCATCACATGGAAATGTAATCAGGTTAAATGTGAAATATTCATGAATGTTAAGTATCAGAGAAAATCCAGGCAGAAGGAAACGTCTGACTCCAAGAAATCAGGGAGAATTTAAAATGCCCCCCAAAGACATCTGACAGGAGTTAGCTAGATCTGGGAACTAGAGTGGGAATTAGCAAGATTATTAAACACTCAGTGGAGACAGACATTGAAATGCATCTCTAACAGCAACCCGTGTTTCTGCAACCCTTCAAACAAATTCTCCACAGACTGCAGAAATGATTAATAGCCCAGTCTCACTGTTTCTGGGACAGGATATATAGGCTAATGGCCAGTGCAAAGCCAATATAATTAGAGGAAGGCAAAAGTGCCAGAAGAATTCTTAGAGTTAGTCTGGTCCAGTGATTTTCATTAAACTGTGTTCCCTGAACCCCGTGCCTTGGGCGGGGCTGAGTGCAAGACGGAAGCAATAGTAGTGAGAATGGAGATCCTCTCTCTCTCTCTTTTTTAAAGATTTTATTTATTTATTTTGACAGAGAGAGAGAGAGAGAGAGAGGCAGTGAGAGAGGGAATACAAGCAGGGGGAGTGGGAGAGGGAGAAGCAGGCTTCCTGCCGAGCAGGGAGCCCGATGTGGGGCTTGATCCCAGGACCCTGGGATCATGACCTGAGCCGAAGGCAGATGCTTAATGACTGAGCCACCCAGGTACCCCTGGAGATCCTCTTTTATTTCACTTACACACCAACCTTTCTACAAAATTTTGGTTGGAGAAAGGGTTCTGTTGCAACAACAACAACAAAATTAAAATCCATTGATTTGAGGTACCTAGCTGGGTCAGTCGGTAGAGCAAGTGATTCTTGATCTTGGGGTTGTGAGTTTGAGCCCCACGCTGGGTGTAGAGATTACTTAAAAATAAAATCTTTTAAAAATCCATTGATTTACTCCAATCTGATCCTTTAAAAATGTATTATGGAAATTATTAAACTTACACAAAAGAAAAGAATGTAGTGAGATCCTGGGTACTTATCATCAGCTTCAACAAATTCAACTCATCAACCCATTTAAAAAAAAAATCTTGGCTCCTCCATTTACTAGCTGTGTAATCTGGGCTTCAGTTTCCTTATCTGTAAAATGGGACTAATATTAATACCTATGTGAAAGGTTCTTCGGAGGCTAAAATAAGTTAATAGATGTGAGCACTTTATAGTACATATTAAGCAATATATCTGTGCTAGTTATAGAGGTATTAGTAGAGGTTCCTTAAGGCACACACAATCATGGAAAGTATGCCCTAGGAGTGACTGGCCCACAGCTGCAGCCCTGGCATCTCACAGGTTGGGGCCTGGATTATGTAGGGAAGTATCTGTGGAAAAGGTATTCCCTCCACAGGGTGAGGAGGGGCCTGACCAGGGGGTATTCTGCCTCCTCCCTCTCCTTACTCTGACACCTATATTTCCTTCATTTATTTATCAGTGGCAAGCCTGGGGCTCATAAAAATAAACAGAAAGTAGTCCCATCCTTAAGGAGCTCCCAGTAATTATCAATAGTGTCAAAAAACCAGATGAATCCCAGAAGATAAATACAATATTTAGAAATAAGGAAGTCATAAGTGGCCTCAGAAAACACAGTTTTAGTTGAAGAGTAGGAACAGAATCCCGATTACATAAGATTTAGGAGGGAACAGGAAAAGAGAAAGTAGAAACAGTGAACACAGATATTCTTTCAAGGAGCCAGACTGAGAAGAGAAGGAATGAGAATAAATTATAACCAGAGGGAATTTTGGAGTTGAAGAATTTCTTTGGACCTACGAAATACTTGACCAGTGTTCTGGACTGAGGGGAAAGAAGCTAGGTAGAAAAGGAGATGTTTGATAGGGCATGGTCCTGGAGGACTCAAGAGGATATGGAAATAGAGCCTTGGGCCAGAGAAGGAAGGCTCCCAACTGAAATGGAAGGGAGGTGAAGATGAGTGGGGGATGCAGAGAACATGGAGGCAGAAAGGTAGGTGGAAAGTTAAGAGTTCATTCCTAAAAGCCTAATTAGGTAAAGGAAGAAGTTGAATACTAAGAGCTTGAAGAGAAAAGGGGTACTTGGTGACTGGCCAGAAGAGTAAGGAGATCAGACTGGATGGGCTTGTAGCTACAAATCCTTATCTTTTACTTAGGTGCCCTTGATCTTGTCACCAGGATGAAAGACGCTCTCCGTGGTGCTGAACAATTTTGCCCTTGCCTTGTGGACTGAGCATGAATGATTCAGAGTAGAGACATGATTCAGTTTTAGCTTCCCCACAAGAAAGGTAACCTCTGTCCTCACCTCCAAGCACTAATTCTCAGAAAAATGGAAATTTAAATGGATTCACAATGAAGTATAAAGAGGCAAAGTGCTTGTACCAACATTATCTAACCTTTCTACACCGAACGCATGTGAATTTTCCTCTAGGTTTATGAGAGAGTTAGCAGAGGCAGTTCTGAGTTGTGAAAGGCTACCTCTGGAACAGTCCTGTCTGTACCCTGTTCAGTTCCCTTGGTGGAAGCAGGAAGCAGGGCAAACTTAGAGCAGGAACAGGGCCAGGAAGAAAGATAACACTGATG